TGGAAGTAGATTTTAGGAATTAAATGGGTATTATGGAAAGAGAGTAAAAAAGGATAAGTGAGATAAATTACACTAAGTAATCATAATTAGAGGAATTTAGGTGCCTCAGTAATAAGAATTTTGGTAATAGGGCAGATTTAGTTGCCTTATTAATAGGTAATTTTATAAATAGTAGATATTTATTAAAAAAAACCGTGCGGATTTTTAGTTGAATTATTAATAGGAATTTTGTTAATACTAGATAATTATTAAAAAAATGGGTAGTTATAAGGGTAAAATTGGAAATAAATATTCTAGGGGGTTTTCACAAAGGAAGAATTATGGTATGGACATATCACTATTTTTTATCAATAGGAGGGGTGTATTGCTAATGACCCCATAATAAAATAAAATAAAAGATTGTCTAGGGTAGAGTGAAGTAAGATTCTGGTGGGTTTTATCTATCCTACACCCGGTGAAGGTTACACCGGGTGATTTTTTACCATTGATCTACACATACCAATGTGGGTGTGTGTGTGTTTGTGTGTATATGAATGGTAAAGATCTACCCGGTGTATTTACCCGGTGTAGGATCTCAAAAGCCGATTCTGGTGCATAAAGGCCGAATTTTTTTCTTCATGTCATATTCTTCACACGCCATCAATGACAATTTAATTAATTCCTCATGAAAAAACAAAATAAATTAAATTAATTAAATTAAAAAAAAAATAAGCAAATAAAAAATCATTGACAATTAACAAAAAAGATCTAAAATCAAAATTTTGAAATGGATTACAATGTTTCGACTTTCGATTTTAAAGTAATTTTCATTGACATATCGTCTGATTTAATTAAAAAAATAAAATTAAAACATAATCGTAATAAAGAAGAAGAAGGGTTTATGGGTTTTTTTTTGAGTTTGTGTGCCATTAATTTTCATTAAGGCTATTAATATCATTTCATATTATCTCGGTCAATTAAACTGAGAAAAAAATAGTCTTTATTTTAGTATGTCCCTTTTTTTAGATGGATTAAGTTTATTTGTATTTAACTTTACAATAAAGATAGATAGCCAGAAAATGGTAGTTTTGTAATATTAGAAAAAATCATGATGTCTATTTACCAGTCTGCCCTTTCACTATTAATATTTGAATTTAAATATTTTCTCTCTCTATAATATTAGTATGTCTTGGAGCCGTCAGCCGTGCTAATACACAAATAGGATTCCAGTAGTTAATTGACATGTGGAAAATATATTTTATTCACTTGGTATATTGAGTTTGTTTGTCTTTTATTGCCTTCC